CTTTAGTTTAGACCTAGAAATGGGACTAGGGGAAATGCCGGAGTATTTTGGCTCTCCGCATAGCAATGCCCCTCCAATTATACCACCGCCCAAATTTTCACTAATTCATGCACTAACTAAATATTTACACTTGCAGTAGTGTTGGTGAGGAACTAGTTGGGAAATCTGGTATGGAATTCCGGACAAGCGGGAGCATCCTCAACCTGAATAGCCCGACTTTTAAAAGCTAGTCCAATTTTTCAGAGTGACCTGTATTTGAGAAGGATGGGGCTCGAAAGGTAAGGGCTCAATCCAGGATTAGATCAGATGAATAAATCGTTTCGATTGGCGTGATAGGGCTGTTCACGAAGTCTGCAGAGGTTCCGTCTAAATGTGAGCAATAAGAGCCTTGTAAAGACCGCTTCGACCGCTTCCATTTCTCTCTCTTTCCCAACATGCTGGTTTCTGCGCTCCCTTATCCACTGTGCTCTCCCGTTTATTCCCTCTGTATCGCTCACATCCTCTCACTACATTACTGTGAAACGGTCCACTTCGTACTCACAGTGTTTGTCATGGAGCTGCCTTCAATAAAGGCATCATAAATACGCAACGCAAAAAGGATTTTAGCATTTTTGCACACCAGTCGCAGTTAGAGTTTCTGGCCACTGAATATTCAAGGCAATGTCTGATGGAAGTCACTGTCCATATATAACCATAGAAGAAAATATACTATATGAAAATCATAGGTTTCATGAGTGCCACCGGTTGACAGGTGAAAATGAGAACGACAAAACCAAAACTGACCACATAAAATCGGAGCACAACGAACAGAATGTCGGTTGCCGGAAAAAGGTCGCAACGAACTGATGACCACGAATCTCATGAACTCGGGCATGTTTGATTGCTCCTGAATGTACAGAACATAATGTTGATTCAATCTATTGAAACATTTAGTTTCCTGGAGCAGCTAACAATTGGTTGTTCAGCTGCAATTGAGTTCAGAAGATTTCACGAGATCAGCCATGTATTCAAAGGTGCGCAGTTAAGGGCAGCGAATGCGGTAAATTGATGCCGATCAAATACGAAAGCAGACCCCAAATGGTGCGAGGAAAATGAGAAGGCGAATTCAGGGGAAAAAAGTCAGAAATCCAAGTGGAGACGCCTTTATTCTGCCCGTGAAGTTTGGATTAGTTTACAATTGTCAATAGATACTGGTCGTTTAGATAAAAGCGTCCCAATAGAATATAAGAGTTGACAAGATCAGAGAATGGGTTGTATTAGGGTTGGAATGATCAACACCCCGGAAAAAGTTTTGTAGGCGGAGCAAAATTTGAATTCCAGCCTTACTGTTCTGCAATTAACGCACCAATTACAATAGTGAAGATGCCAAAGCACCTTGCTCTCTTTGCCGCATATTAACGCTTTACTAACGCATACAGGGAGGGGGGGGGGGCAAAAAAGACATTTTGCCCGGTCGCACTTCGGCCTTTTTTCTTCGCAGAGATTGCCGTCGTTGACGGAAGTTCCTCAGCAAAATATTCCCTAAATGTCCCTCTATAAGTACACGCAGGCCCTCCTTCACTGCCCTCACCGTCTTCAGAATATGACGTCATCTGTCACCGTCGTCGAGCTCAGGGAGGCCTACAGTAACTGCTTCAGCCTGAAGCTCTTACATAATTTCGTGGATCGATTCAACGTGGGAT